ACAAGTTGGGAGAAGGACTCTACAGTGATCAATGTAAGTTTGATTTTGTTAGTATGTTAAAAATTATAACACACTTTTATGGAAATTGCTAAGATAAAGATACTTCCCTTAATTTTGGATGATGTTGCTGTAATGAGAATCAAAAGGCAGTAGTTAGATATGACTTAAGTCCTGCCTAGTATTTTCATTCAGAAGTTACCAGTAGAAATTAATTGTACTTGTCTATATTTGACATGGACAGGAATGCAACTATATTGCAAATTAATATAAAAAACCAGCAAATACACTTAATATCTGCTAAGAAGTAGTTAGAGAAGAATGTTGGACACATTATTCTAAAGTGACTGAAATATTTACTGTTTGACATCTTCCAAGGCACATTATTCTGGCTCACATGCTCCTTGTTTTAGACCTTGTAAGTATGACCATGGAGGCTAATTAGTGAAGATGTCCATGCTTTAGGATAACTAGATTGATATTTATTCAAGTCACATGAAAATCACAGTTGCTTTAAGTTCCCACTCGTTTGTGTTTTGCTACTTAAAAATATATTAATTTTTTTTATTACTTGGTTTTATTATAGAGACGTGGGGCACAAGTCAGGATTAGGTACATAAATAAATAGTCTATGTGCAGGTGAAGTTTGGGCCTCCAATGGGTCCTCACTTCTTCTGGTTTAGGACCAGGTACCCTTTGTGTTGTTATGTCATCCCTCTCTCTACCCTGGGCAGTGCCAAGCGACAAGCGACTGCCTATCCTTCCTTTGTGCTATTGTGATTAAGGATCAGGTCCCACTATGAGTTAGAATACGTGGCATTCCGTTCTTTGTTTCTGTGATAGATCACTAAGTATGATGCTACTGTTTTGAACAAAGATGTAGTTTCACATTTTCTGATAATTTGCTTAAAATCTCCATGACAATGTAACATTCTTTAACTTGTCACAGAATACATGGCATAAGAATATGAATGCAAACATATGAAGAGAAAAGCCCTCAGGTGGTTGTTAATTTTTGGCATTGTGTAATTAAACTAGTTTTTTGAATGTTATCTTTTGCCAGTATCTAATTAGCAAAGCCATCTGCTGAAAGAGTAGTGGCCCATCTGCCTAGAATGTTGTTCTCTTCATTTTCATGAAAAGTGTCTGCCTTTGCTGGTCCCTATCTAATTAACTTCTCTGACTGTGTAGTGTGATAATACACAGATTTGTTTATATACTTCTGAGAACTGTGGATTTGTATGTATGTAACACATACATAAAAAGAGTCAGTTTCTCTTCCTTTCTCACATCTGATTTACTCTGAGAGCATGGCTCTGTTTATCCTAACCGGAGCATATTTGTGTGCAGGACAGTCAGGTGTGTGCTGGATCACGAAGCAATAGGGGCTTTGCTGCATTCCAAAGAATTCTGCAGATATAAAACAGGTTTTTTTGTAAGCCTTCTCTGTTTCTATTTAGGTCTGTTTGTAGCTCTGTCACTTCCTGAAAGTTGATGATGCTGTAAGTCAGAGTGTATCACTGGATCTTAGATGAACTTGCATTTGAACAATGAAAATGAACACTGCTGTATCCTCAGACACTGTCTACGCAGATGGAATACACTTGTGTTGTATTGTAAATTAATATCTCTTATGTACAATCTTATCTATATGCCTGTTTTTCTTTCCATCAATCAATTAGAAGAGTGTCTTGTCCTTGGTAGGTATTTAATGGCGATTTATTAAACGAGAGAATTAGTGCATGTGCATAAAGCAAAACTTCTCTAAGTTGTTCAGTAGTGTTGCTATTATTTGTATGTATTTATATAAAAAAATAGGAATTTGTGTTTTTTAAAATGTAGATGTTTTCAGTTCACTGCCTGTTGTGCGTAATCCTTGAATAGCCAAGTAACCACAATAATACTGCTATATATCTGGTACTGAAACACATAATGCTGGCTTACATGTGGAATGGAATAGAGAAGCAACATTTCTTTTCTATACTGGGTTATCATGTAATAGAAAAATTAAACATAGATGACAAAAATTAAATATTTTTTAAAAGGGAAGCTCAGGAGATAAGACCATGAATGTTGTTTTGAGATCTGAAAGACTGCCTTAGTGTTTGTTTTGACTGTCACAAAGATAGGTTTGTTTAGGCAGAAAAATGTCTTAACATAAATTTAAGGACAAGTGGAATGATGGCTTCCCAAATTAGCGGTGGAATTTGTTCCATAATCATGATATATAGAATAACAATCCTCATTGATAAAAGAACACTCAGACTTTGTTAAAAGCTGTTTAGGATGGATCTGGCAGAATAAGGAAGTTATGATCAGGTTAAAAATAATTTAATTTCAAACAGAAAAATGGATAACTTTGAGAAATGAGATCTGACACAGGACTGGTACATTGATATCGATATTCATATTGGTCTCAAATGGAGCAGTTCTTTTTTCTATTTTTTGTATCTGCCACGTAATCAAATGGGCAAAGTCTAGTTCACCTAGTGAACAGAAAGACACTGTGGGATTAATCTGAAACACTCAATTCTAGAATAATCTGGAAAAGTCAGTTTTCCCATTCTATTTCTTTTTAAATTCTGCTTTATCCAATAGTATGTGTTTAGTCCTGCTGCCTTCTGCAATAATTAAAGTTTCATTCTTAATATAAAATTACTCTTTATCCTATACTCTATTCAGATGGAAAATGAATCAACAGAAAAGATATACAATCAGGATCTTTAATTAATACTGGATTTAAGTATTATATGCCGACTGGTGATACTGCAATAAAAATGCCTTAGGAAAGCAACCTTTTATTTTTAATAGCTGTTTTCAGAAAAATTTATCAAATGTGTCCTATTTTCTGTTGGTCTAAGAAACTTGTGTGAGAGTTGCTATTTTTTGGTATACTGGTTAACATAATGAAATATTTTTGGAAACTCTCACATTCTTTCTTACTATTACTTTTCCCTTTCAATCCTTGGCCAATATTTATCTTTAAAATGCAAAGGCTATATGGGCATTGGGTAGACTTCTGAGGCTGTTTGTTTGCCATTTCAGCAGCAGGGTCCAAACAATTTTGATGGCAGTCGGTAAATATTCTTTTCCCTTAGCCCTGGGACGAACCCTGCTTCTTATAGCACTAATGTTTACCATAGAGAGCTTTACTATTTAACTTTCAAGAGAATCACTAGACCAACGAGAGGCACTGTGCTTGCTCCTTTATCTAAAATACTTCACCATATAGTTTTCCTAGTAATTGTACGACTAATTCCTTTTCATGATATATAATACTAAATCTTCTGGTAATAGGAAATCAAAGTTGGAATGGGGTCTACTCTTCTAAAGAAATATATTACAAAGTAATATTTTGTAGAGATCTAAAAAAAGAATATACTAAAGCTCAAGTCAGATAAACAGCAATGTATTTATTTTCCTTCATTTTATCTGTACTTCATAGGGATGCAGTTATGCAACTGTATATGAAGCTCTTATCATTTCTCTGGAGGTGTCATCACTTTTCATGAAACTGTTTGTCATCCTGGTAGGAAATTCAAGTCATGTGTTTGCATCAGATGCTGATTAGCTGTGACTTTATTGCTGCCATCAAACATTATGAACAGCAAAACATCACAGAAAGAATTAACAAATTCTCTTATCAAATGTTGTCACTGACAGAAATCCCCAAGTCTGCACAAGGGAAAACAGTTATAGCATTGTTTCTGTTCCAAAGACACTGAAGTGGCTCACCCTAGAATACTTTTCTTGCAGGCTTATGTTTGCCAAGTAACTTAAGATATACAAGATGCAGTGTTTTATGATTTAATCTCTGTTATGTAACATTCTTTGGAGGGCAGCTGATATTAGAGAATGGTTCTAGCCTGACTTTGTTATTCTTCCAAACTTAGAAGAATAACAAAAAACATTTTCTTACTAGAAATAAGGTTGAGCCATGATTTTTATTTATATTACTTGACATTAAGCTGTTTGGGGTTTAGTTTAGTTCATTATTTGATATTAGTCAAAATTAACAACAAAGGGTCTCTACTACAACGTATCTTTCTGACAATGATTGAACTGGTGCACATGCCTTATTTTTCAGAAATCCAATTCTAATAGTAAGACAATAATGATGATAACAGGTATGAAGAAAATGTTTTCATCCTGTAAAAGTCCATACTCCATACAGTAATAGAAAAGAAAGACAACTCAGTGGCTTCTACTTGTTGAAAAAAATTATGCACAATCTCAATACATAGGCCATGGATGTTTGTTACCATTTTTCTTTCCGTAAAGCAAGCTTTGTCTATTTTCTTAACTAATCACAGATTCTATTTGTAAGTTAGCATCGGATGTGAAAGCACACATCTTAAATTAATCAGCATGAGCTAGGTTTGGAAAGTCTGAGAAAGAATATTTAAAAGCTGTGGCTCTAAATATTTAGTCAGAGCTAATAACACATGAAAACTAACTGGTAATGGGGAAAAATAGTAGCTGTGCTCTTTGCATGAGCTATTTATTTATTGACTATTCATCATTTATATATGTATCTTGGTAGTAAGGATATGCAAAATCATTCTCACTTCATTACCTGTGACTATTGATAAATGCCATGGTATTAAGATAATATGTAAGTTATTTCAATGGATATTTAGATCATTTTGTTTCAAGGCCTCACCTTCAAGCCTCCTCTGGATCCATTGTTTTTTCACTGCCGTGTTAATTTCTGTAATCAGTGCCTTGGTCACCAACCCATTATACTTTTCTATTAGTGCCAACATATAACTATCTTAAAAGTAAATATTCAGGGAGGGGCAAGTCCTAATGCCTCAATTTTAAAGCCAACTATAAACTCATGACTGAATTTCATGTATTTGGTGTAAATTCTATACAAGTATGAAATGTTGGTGTCAGGATGCACTCAGATTTTCGAATTCAGTTACCAGTACCTTATTTATGTTTTCCCTTTCATTCAATCAAAGACATAATAGTTACTGTCATGTCGGTGTTTTCTACAGGCTGTGAAGTGGGAGTGTGATGAAGCTACCAAGAAGGCCTGTTACAGCAAGGGCAAGTCCAAGGTAAGAAAGACACAGTTATGAGCTGTAATCACTACTCTGTCTTGAAGGACTATATTGTTGTGATACAAAGGGTATTCCTGATTATGATGTAATATACAGTAAAAAAAGAAGAGCAGGATTCAAAATATATGTACAGTAAATTCTCAAGTTTTTAACCACGGCAATCAATCATTTCCAAAATGGATTCAGAGCATAAGATAGATCTAACTTGCATTTTCAGTCATTGGACTAAGAAATTAAATTAATTGATTATGAGATCTTTGGAAAAAACATATGCTTAGATTTTTAAAATATTTTAATTTCCTCCTTTAATACATTGTAGCGAACTCAAAAAATTAATCATGTAATAAAATTATTATATCAAAAATAATTTGAGAGTTATTATTTATAATTTATCCTAACATATCTCTTATAATAAGCTTTCTCTATTTGCATACAAGACCTATATCCCTGCATTCCTTTGGAAAGTGCAGTTTATACCTAAGGTTGAAAGTGTATGTCTTGAGTAACTGTGCACACAGTTGTCTGGCTCAACAAGAGGCGTGATTCTTTGCCTTTCGAGGAGGCCAATGTATCTGAAAGAATTATACATGATCCTGTAAGGAAATTTTTCAGTTTGTGCACAGACTCACTACATCTCATTCTGTTAGTGAGCTTCCTACTTTATCGAACATGGTGTTTCCGGTGATGACTTACAATTGGCATTGTGGAAGAAAGCAAATACACACAAAGTAGCAAAGAGGACTTGCTATGCAAAGCTGGTCCCAGGGCTTGGGGGACAATACAACAAACGCAGAGAGCACTGGCAAAAAATGCTCCCACCATCTGTCTTTATAAAAAAGAGTGTTAGGTACTTTATTTTACCCAAATTCCTTGCTTGCTTTCTTTCCTTTTAATTGAACAGTTCCAAGAGTCAGACAGCTTCCAGCCATCTCAGTGATGAATAAAGTAGCCCAATCTCACCTTCACCCAATCAATATACCTAGGTAACAAATCCTCACATGTACCCCATGATTTTAAAATGAAATAAAATACTAGAAAGAGGAAAAGGGATTAAACATAGTGTTAGCCAGGGAAATATTTAGGGACCAAAAAAAAACGTGGAAAAGGCAATTTACCAAAAGTATTGAATCTTAAAAAATGCCTTCTTTCATCAGAGATGTAAGAAAATTCAAAGATATCTCCAAGTTGCAAATAATCAGAATATGGTGTCTTAGAATAACCTCCCTCACCCCAAATAAATGCTGTCCCCTACTGTGTTGTGTGAGTTTCCTCATTGTAGACATGTGGCTGAGCTCTCCTTTTGGTCTCTGGGAGCAGGTATGGTCCTTTAAAGAAGACCACCTGTGCTGAGGAATGAGCTGTGGGAGTCAGAATCACATGGGGTGGGGGTGGGGCAGAAAAGATACCTTCTTTCTTTCAACCAGGAAGATTCACAGATGGAAGCACTGGCCTTTCTTTCCATATTCCAGAGCCAAGAAATACTGTTCCTTACCTTGAGAGATCACTGCCTCCTGTTGGGGCTCTGTCTGATGCTCTGTTTTGCTTTTCTTCCACTTTTCTCTTCTATTTCTTCTTGTCTTCATCTTTCTTCTGGTACTTTGGCTCTTCCTGTCCCTTGTCTTTCTTCTTAGGTCTTATGGGTACACCAATAAGCCCCATTCGGTTTGGGGAAACCTGATGACAGAGATTGTTTCCAGATACTTGTCACAGTGTCCATCTCTGAAAATATTTAGCTTGACAGACCCTGCCCTCCTTCCCCCTCCTGGGACCCATGTGCTGTTCCCTAGTAGATCTTACAGTTTTCTCCCCTGTCTTTCTCACACATTTCTCAGGACTCTGTTTTCTACCCCCACGTTGCATTAGTTATCAGTCTTATAAAAGTCCAGCAGCCATTTGTACTTGCTCTGTTGCCCTGCATTTTAATTATCTAGCCCTGGACTAGAAACTCAGCTGAATGACTTCTTGTTGATCCACATGTGTACCCAGAGCCCAGAGTCAGCTCTTGGTGGATGTTTGAAGATGCTCTACTGAATCAGGGAATGAACACGTGAAGCCCAAACCAGGACAGTGAATTGTAATTCAGGGTTTCTCACCCCTACCACGCATGATTGATTTTGGGGGCCAGATTATTCTTTCGTGTTGGGGCTGCCCTGTAAATTGCAAGCTGTTTAGCAGCTCTCTTGGCCTCTGCCCACCCAGGCATAACAAACAAAAATATCCACAAATGTCTCCAGACATTTCCAGGCAGTGACCTGGTTGAAAATCCCTGCCTTACTTTCTAAAATGATAAATGTACTGGTGACTTTTACACTGAACATTTTGATTTTTCTTTGCCCTCGAAGGCCTTCCATATTTCCTCTGGATCACATGCATATATTTGTTTCACAGATTTTTAAAAAATTAATAGTTAATTCCCTTCTTATGCCTAGACTTCAATCTCCTTTTGCTCCTTGTATACCAAAGGAAAGCATCAGATGACTTAATCTAGCTCGGGGTTTTTCCTCTTCTTAGTCTGAAAGTTTATAATTTAAAAAAATATGTGTGGTTGCCTTTTGCTAATAGATTATTGCTACTTGGGGTGAAAAGTCACTTCTGCTGAATCAAAACTGGTCTATGTTTTGCCTTAAGCTGTGATCATTGGTTGTTTGGTAACTAGAAATTAAGCAAGTAGAAAAAAAAAAAAGAATAGGAAAAGACCATCTTTCATTCCCAGTGGATAATATACCCTTAATTCACAGAAGTCTCAGATCGTTACCACACTTAATTGAATTTTCTTAATACACAGAAAGCAAATGAGGAAGACAGACATTGCCAAATAAAGTCATACCTTTATGTTTCACAAGCTTTTGGTTTTCATGAATTGAGGCTAATGGAAAAATCTTAGTAATTATAAATTGATTCAAACAGCATTTGTGTATGGATTTTTCAATGCTAATATGGTTAGACAGATGAAGATGAATTTCAAGCACCAAACTCTCTGAGAAAGATAAATCACATGTTCTTTTAGGTTGCATTAAATATATTGATAAATTCACATAGAGTTTTAAGTAACCTCTGCTCCCTTGAAACAGATTTCAGTTTATGTATTAGGACTGTGTGCCCTGGAAGCTCACATGTACAAAAATGTTGTGGTGGCTTTACAAAGGTGTTGGTCTAGGCTGTGAGGCTGGCTCATGGGTGGTGACAGCAGACAACTCTTCACTCCCATGTGAAAGTTCCCTTTCCTTATTTACTTTCTTAATATACTAACTGAACAGTGACCATTAGGTGAGGGGTCAGATACAAGGCAGTCCCCCTAAGAACAGCAGAAAACAGACCAAGTACATCCTGCCAAAGGACCGTCCCCTGAGTTGAGAATTCAGACATGCCCAATTTCTTCTGTTCCTGGGGGCCAAATCGGATAACATTTTTGCAGTGAACTTGACTGATTTATAGTCTTTTTAGGGGAATGGAATGCACACTTTTCTTAGTGGTCATGAGTTTAGAAGGAGAATTGAACTATTTTGTATTTCTGCATGTGCTGTAGTGTTATGAGAACTTGCACAGAATTACAGTTTCCCTTCTCCCTTGAAATAAAAGGAATAATGCAAAACGTGACATGCGAAAAATGAGAAAAATGCCAGCCATTTTAACTGAACTTTTTTTTTCTTCCTACTCTAAGAAAAGTGGTCTATGCTGCACTACACACTGCAATTTGCTGCAGTGCAAAGCTGGAATTCAATGCATGAGGGAGGTGGCTGGACTTGGGGGGTGGGGCGGGTGGGTAGTGCCTGTGCCCACTTGCTTCTCTGATGAGAGCATTCCTCAGCTGCCTGCAAGGCACAGGAGAATGAAGATGACAGATTCCCTCTTGCTTCGCTGGGTTTGCTGTGTCCAGATACAGATATCATTTCATATGTAGTCCACGAAAATTGCAATTTAGACAGTCAGGGTCAAGAGAAGTTATTCAAATCTCTGATTTGGGCCAGGTTTGAAAAGAAGGTAGGTATTGAGACTGTTAAGTCTTTACAAAGTTTGAGTTATATTTTATTTAGAAAATTTTCACCTCACTTCAGAGGATGCGAGTGACTGCTTGCAATGGCTTAAGCATTTCATGTCAAAAGGGGTAAAAAGAAAATCTGTTTTTATGGATTAAAAAACTTATTATAATAAAATATGTTGCATTTAATTATTTTGGAAATAGCACTATGGAAGTCAAATTCTAGAAATATTTAAATAGCTTTTATACAAATATTATTTTAAACGCAAATAGTCGATTCTCTCATGATCTAACAAGAGTTCCTTGTCTGTTTCGGGTTATTATGTCTGAGTCGAGTTTTCTCCTACCCTGACATTTAGGAACTGTACAAAGGAAACACAGCTGATTATTATGGGAGTGAAAGAGCTGCTTTGTGCTTATATTATACTTTATAATTTTCAAAAGTTTTTGTTCATGATCTCATTTCAGGACTTTTGACACTAAGTTCCTAGAATTATTTTGCTAGTTAGTGGGAGAGTTTTGATTAGAATCCAGGGCTCTGTGTATTGTTCTTTCTATTGTATCCTGTGGTGCTATTTACCAAGAAGTCAAATTGTGCTAGTAAAAAGGTAAACTCCTAATGATTAAGAGAAGAAAAACATATCACATTCCTGCCTAGGAGCGGGCTGGCATAGGGTTGGGTCTTGATGTTTCTTCCTGAAGTGCCAATATTTCCAAAGCTGTGGGTTAATCAATGCATGGAGCACATTTTACCCCTGCCTTTATCCTATATAACTACTTTACAAATTAAGGATATTTTAGGTTAAATACTAACAAGGCTATGCAGGTTGTGCACACTTAATTTTTTTTTTAACTGAGGTGCCCAAGCAAGTTTCCCATGATGTCAGCTCAGTTGAACCGAGTATGTAAATGTACATAGTTTAGTATATTTCAATATATAAATACACTATAATTATATAGCATGTAATATGTCTGTGTTTACATTTCTCTCTCTAGAGATTGCATTTGTACTATGTACATATACAAGGGGGCACCCTCATAAAAACAGAATTATCTTTTAGAAGGTGTGCCCTCTAGGTTTCTACTGCTAGGTAAATGTCCTAGGAGCCCCACAGCATCAGTGTACCAGCTAGCATTGTAGTACGAGGCTGCATTCGACTTTGGTGAATATTTTTTCAGAGGTACTTAATGCATTTGTCCATTTCATGATGGATGAATTATGAGAGCACCTGCCCGCACCACACTAAATGTTCAGCAGTTTTTGACCAAAAAAAATGACATGACCCCCATGCTCCACCCTCCCTGTTCACTGAATCTCACGCCAAGTGACTTTTTTTTCTGTTTCCCTGGGTAAAAAAAAGTCCTCAAAGAGAAAGGTTTTGCCAATCTGGAAGAGATGAAACAAAAAAGGTCAGAAGCACTAAAAGACATCAAAACTGATGAGTTCAAAACTGTTTTGAGCAGTGGAAAAAGGGTCTTGTTTGGTGTTTTGCATCAGAGAGTACTTTGAAGGTGACTGAAGTTTAAATATGTAAGAATAAATACACAATTGTTTATAAATAAATTCCATTTTTGGGGCGGTCCCATCTCATATATGTGATGAAAATATGCAAATGTATATATATAATACACACACACACACACACACACACACACACCTGATTGGATTTTAAGAGTCACCTGCTGATTATGACTTTGGTTGGTATATAGTCAACTTTTAAAGACTCATACAGTATCTATAAATTGCTTCACTTCAGCACTCTGGATGTTCACAAGGGTAATACATTATTAAGAGACAGACACATGCTTTGGCTGGGAGTGCCGTGATTAACATAATGGCTGTCAGGGTTCCTACCCTCACCTCTCCTCCCTAAAATTGATGGGCTGGTCAATGGACTTAGTGTTGCTGAGGAGACACCTCAGACAGTCACTGTGTTTGTAGGTCACCTTCCTATACAGTCATGCAGTCTTTCTTCAAGCAGAACATACTTACTTGAAACCAAAATGATGAAATATTATAAGGCAAAACTAATGAATTAGTTAAGAAAACAGTTCTAAAACATGTGTTTCCTCTCCTGGGGATGGGGCCTTGTGTCCTTGAGACCAAATGGGCATTGGGCTGTAGCACTCTGCTATTGATCATATCTTTCAATCCAGATAATTCTCTTGGAATGTCACCCCTGCCCATGTTGTCAATGGTATGTGATGAGCACATTTTTGCCTTGTTGCGGACTCTTGCTTTTTTAAAAAAGAAGAGATTATTTTATATGTTGCCTTGGTTTTGAAAGAGTTCTAAAAGCAGCAGCCAAAATAAATAAATAAATAAATGCCACCTTTTTCACCATGTGTAATTTTCCATCCTGTCTTTATTAGAGTGTCATTACCATGCCTGCTTCATCCATTAAGACCATCAGCTCCCTTGGCCCTGTGTTCTGAAAGATGTCTTTGTGGATATCCCTGGACAGGCATGGCTTTCCTGCTTTCATTCTTACCCCGACCCTGTCTTTGCAAATTTCTGTACCCCTCTGCTTTGAGTTGCCAGTTTCTGCCATAGCCCTTCTCTGTGTTCTCTTCAGCTTGGGAAGGGGTAACTGTGTGGTTCTTTGAAATATTTTGTTTTGTTCTTTTTCTTTAGAACTCCCTTGTCTTTTTCCTAGGTATAAAAACAAAAAAGAACCAAAGAAAACAAGCTTTCCTCCCCACATCTTGTGTGCCTTTCTCTGTTATCCAATTTACTGTCTACTGTTTATACTCATTTCTTAGTTCATCTGATAGTTTACTTAGATCTTTATTTTTTTTTCCTTTCTCAGTTTAGCTTCCAATGATAAGTTGCTGCTATTACTGTTAGTAATAGTGTTAGGAGAATTATCTACCCTTGGTATTTTGCTCTACATTTAGAAAGCAAATTCAAATATCTTAGTACTTTTCATTGTCACCACTATGCCGTCATGCAGCAGACTGGGTTATGGCAAATCAATATTTTTATTTAGAGGAGGACCATTTGTTAAAGAGAGGATTGCTGTATCATTAAATCCAGATCCTCCTGCCTTCAGATGCCATGTGGTTCAAATTACCAGAGCATCATGCAGCATCTTCCATGTTTATTTGGTTGGTCAGTCACCACCACCGCTCTGTTGATTTGCTGGATTCTGGCTTTGTCCTTTCATACCTACCACCTTGGTCCAAGCATAAAATGACAAAAGCCTGAACTAATGGAAGCAGCTTCCTACCTGCCTCCCTCACTCCAGTCTCCCTATTTCTAGCTTATCCTCCACATTGTTTCCTGAGTGGTCCTTCAGCAACAAACATGATCACGTCGAAACTTCATGCAGTAACAACATTGAATGAGTTCCTTCACATTCAGGGTGAAATGCAAACTCACTAGTCTAGCACTCCTGGTCTGTGTTGGGCTCCTCAGCTTATGTGTTACCTCTTCTCTGACCGTGATGCTGGAGCACAATATACTCTTCTTGCCTGAAATGTCTTTTCCCTCTCTTGCTCAGTAAAGTCCCACCAACACCATCTCCAGGAAGTGTCACTAAATTTTACACTTCATTTAAAACTTAGCTTAGTTGTCAACTCCTCCAGGAAGCTTTCCTACACTACTTTTGTTCCCTGTTAAAGCTAGGTAACTGCTCCTCTGTGTGTCCTCCTTATAGAATGTCGACAGCTCCACGTTAATTGCTGTGACCCTGTCTTTTTCTGCCAAAGACTTGGATTGTGACTTCTGGCACAGTGTCTTTTTAAGAGGAGCTACTTGGTAAATGCCTGCGGAATGAATGAAGAGTTTTCTAACTCACATGTCCATCACTGTGTAGCCATATTCCAGATTCTCTATGAATGTTTTGCAACACCTCCTCACCTCATGCCCCACCACACACAAAAACAAACAAAACACCTCAACTATAGATCATCCCTCAGGATAGGGTTTGGTCCCAAATGTTCCAGACATCTCTTCCTTATTAAGTATATTTTTGCTAGCCAATCAATGAATCAAAAGTGTTTATAGATACTTGCTATGTAGGTAATGCAACTTGAGCCCATAAAGTAAAATTTGTTCTGATTTGTGTACAGAATTTCACGTGACCCGATTGGAGAAGCATTTGCAATATTTTTTTAAAGTCCTGGGGAAGTTTTCTAAGGCACTGTTTCATGAGCAGCATCTAACAGGCTCCTTTTATGTATTCTTCTAATGCTTGTTCAAGGAAATGTAGAGTTTGCACTATTATCAGATGCAATTTCAAATGAAGTCATTTTGTCAAAAGAAGGCATGTGCTTTGAGATTTAATTGAATGTATAGTATCTTCACATTCTCTATTGAACTAGGTGCAGATACAGAGAGTCAATGTATTTCATAAAAGTCAAATTATTTTATAGCTTTGTTGTTTTTTGTCAATATCTGAAAGGTTTTTGTTTTGTGGTTAGCATTTTATTAAGCAGATAAAATATATGCTTACTGACTATTCCTCTTGTGCTCAGGTCTTGTTAATGTGTTTCTTGTGATTTTTTTTTTTTTCTAGGAGGAATGTCAGAACTATATCCGGGTGCTTTTGGTGGGTGGCAACCGGTTATTCACCTGTGGGACCAACGCATTTACACCTGTCTGCACCAACCGCTCGGTAGGACTTTGTTTTGAGCTTCAATAGAACTTAGTATTAGGAGAAGTCAAGCAGTATATTAAAACCCTAATTTTAAAAGAATTTCTATATACCAAAGTATTGCTCTTTAATTCAAATCACCTTTTGTCAAATTGAATAAATATGTAATTTGTTAATTTATTTCTCTTTTGTTAATTAAGACTATCAATTATATAAAGAGCAAGAAGTAATAATAACCTGTATAATTAATTTAACTATGCTTCTAAACTATTTCAACCAGCATTTTCCCCACCAATAACTTTAAACATTAATCATAAGCAAAATAATTTAAAAAAAATTTTTTGCCATATGGTAGAAATACTGTTACATATTAAAATGGTTTAAAATCACAATTCAAAGATAGAAAATCTAATCAACAAGTTAGAGAAAATGTATGTAAAAAAATAAAACAAACAAGTGTAACCCTAGGCAAAGTCAAGTTGTAACTAAACTTCTTTCTTTAACCTAGTGTCATTAACAGAGGAATTTTTAGCCTGCACATTCAATAACAGCAGCATGGCAGGGTCATTAGAACACACATGAAGTCTTCCTAATTCAGGATATTAATTTGTTCTTCCTCAGGGAATATAATGAGAAAATACCATTATGTTAATTTCCTGGTTGCACAACTCTATAAACCCTTAATTTATCATCTGTTTTTACTGTTCATTATTTCAAGTGAACGTTCAATTGTTGGAAATAACGGGAGGAGGAGGATGAGAAAAAGGATGTGACACTCTCAGAGAGCTCCCTAGTTTCCACACCCTGCCCCATCCTCCCCAGTGTTTGACATCCAGTCAATCATTCAATCTTCACCATCTACCCCACGAGGTAGTTGCTCTTTGGTGCTCCGTTCTATAAAAGAAGAACCCAAGACATAAAGAGTTTGGGTATCTTGCCTTGGGCTGCACATCTAATATCAGAGCAATCAGACTTTTCTGTCTTACTACCTCTCAGGTAAGAGCAAAGGACCACATTGAACCCCAAACCCGAGAGCTTTTCTTTTTCCATGATTAGGAATCTAACATTAAGGAAGCTGGATTTATACAAGATGATTCCAAGACACTGAGGTATCTCCCCAAAAACTGAAATTGAAAAGAGCTGGAAATATAGGCTACACGGTGCAGAATAAACACACATCCTTACCTGTGAACGCATTGTTTGGGGTGACCATAACTCTGGTTCACTTATATTGATAAAATTGTACACAACTCTTCATTGTAACTTCTATTTCTATAAATATTGGCACTAATTTCTTTATCAAAGTGGAAAAATGTGCAACACTTCTGCATTACAAATCAAAGGCAATTTCATATTTGTGAATATTCAGTAGAATGACGTTCAGTAACTCTAAAGGGATAAGAAAGACAGAATGATTGGTGGATTCTCTCATCCTGACCGCATGTGCTGTTTTCATCAGTCAGAGAAGAAAAGTTGGCCATCTCTTATCAGGAGCCTCAGAGAGCTTCCTGCACATGCTTCACTGCGATTGTGGCAGTGTCATCCGTTAGTGCCACTTATGGGTCTTGATGGAGGGCTAACTGGTTTCTCTCTCTTCAACCACAGTTGAGTAACCTGACTGAGATCCACGATCAGATCAGTGGCATGGCCCGCTGTCCCTACAGTCCCCAGCACAATTCCACGGCTCTCCTCACAGCCGGGGGGGAGCTCTATGCTGCTACAGCCATGGATTTCCCGGGGCGTGATCCTGCCATTTACCGAAGTCTGGGCATTTTACCTCCTCTCCGTACAGCTCAGTACAACTCCAAGTGGCTCAATGGTAAGCCTTCAGTCACTCCCACTTTCTGTCTCATTTATTTGTGATGCCTGCTTATTTGGTGCTCAAAAGCAAGTCGTCATACTTTCTATAGAAAAGCAAATTCTTCATTTTCTAAAGAAATCAAACTGTAACTTGTTGATCTGGATCAAATGACTGGAAGGACATCACATGACTTTTTAGGGAGAGAGGTGATATTCCTAACACTGTAGACCACAGTCACACGATCGTTCTGTCAACATTAGATCTTTTTTGAAATGCAAAAAATTTAATATTTTGTCACAAATAGGTGTCAACTTCTGTGCATTGTTTTTTCTCTTTCTTTGAATATATCTGGAAATGGAAATGACTAACATGTTTTGGCATTTTTAGATATTGAGTAAAAGAATGTGTTTGGCTATAGGTAACTTTAAATAGTTTGACAATTTTAAAAAGGTATCAACTGACATACTTAGAAGTTAGTAGTAGACATCTTTGGAGTTTATTACCTCAGTGACTCAAGAGTTAATAAAGACTCAAGTCTTCACTGCAGTCTCTGCCCTCTACAGTCTGTCAAGGAGATCCTCAGCCCCCCAGCTCTGCTTGTAGATACAAAACTGCTGCTCTAATTCAGTCATTGCATTCACATGTGGTAGATATGCACTAGAAGAAGAGCCATGATTCTGTTTCTTTTTTTAAAAAACATTCATTTTTATTTTTATTAAGAAATGAGAAATCCTCAGAAGACTTTTTTTCAGTTCTGGGCCAGAACTTAGTCACCTGCTCACTAAACAGTCAGAAGATGGTACCAATTACCATAATCAAGAGTGACTGGGTACAAAGTCCTGATGTGTGTCAGTTGAAATCCAACCCACACTTTATTATGTACACATTGATATTTGTGTGGTCTCTCTCTCTCACACACACATGCACGCACACACTGGCAATGGCAGTATGTATACACCATCTGCCTTAAGCATTTATTTGATAGTTTGCACAAAGATGAAAACTTGACATTGCCATTATATAATAATACTTATTAGTTTGATATTTCAAGTTCACTAAAAAGTTACTGACCTATCATCCAGTGCAAACTAATGATGTAGACCAGAGTTTCTCAACTTCAGCACTACTAATGTTTTGGACTGGATCATTCTTTGTTTGGGAGTAGAGGAGGGAGCACGTTCCTTGGCATTGCTGGATACTTAGCATCCTTGACTTATACCCATTATGTGCCAGTAGCATTTCCCCTCTGTCCAGTTGTAACAACAAAACCTATTTTCAGAAATTTTCAGAAATCCCACAGAGGAAGAATTTCCCCTAAATCACTGATTTAGACTCATCAAGTATGCATATGTGTGTATATGTGTGTATATATTCAACACAAATATTTTGCCAAGTTGTACAGCCAACCGTTAAACCATCATAAGTTTGCCTTTAAAAAAAAACTCTCTTGTAGAAACGAGTGTCCTCATTATTAACTTTCTTTAGAAAATCGAATGACTCTTGCTTGCAAAGGGCAACGTGAATTGTTTTCCCAAACTGAAGTACTCACTAGATTTCTCCCATTAACATTATTTCTCTTAAGCTGGCTTCAAGTGAGCTGATTGACTCTCTGTAGATAGTCTCCTTTTGTCTCTGAAATGTTCATCTGTGTAGCTTCAAGTTGTTCTTTCTATTTATTTGTTGATTTTTACTGGCCCAAGAAAGTTTCCAGTTAAAAATAAAAATGACTTTTCCCTCCCCTGCCAACAAAGGCTTTATAATTAGAGTTTGCCAAAAGCAAAATGAAAAAGTAATTGGGAGCACAATCTCTGTTCCAAAAAGTGCCACCTTAAGGATGTTCTGGAAAAACAATCCAGGTCATAGCATAAGTTATAGACATTGGCTGTGTTCTTACTCATAGACCACCTGGCTGATCAGAGGGTCAGAGTTCGTCAACCCTCTGGGTAGAATCCTTTCCCTTTGGGAGTCAGATGATGTCAACTGGTAGTGGAGAAGTCAAACCAGGGCTTACCCCAGTAGTGGTAGGCAGAATATTGTTACTTGTTGCATGAAGAAAGTAATGTTTCTGATTCCTAGAATATGCTGCTATTGATTTATGATATCTGATAACTTCAGAAATTGAAAATAATTCAAAAGACAAATATGGTGGCCCTACCAATTAGCCTATCATGTCAGCATAACTCACATGACACTGAGTAGCCTGCATTTCTCGGGAGAGCAGAACACACCCCTTCTCTGGTTTACACTGGGAAGACCCTCACACCTAGGACCAAGAGCAGAGAGCACTGCCTAAGGGCTCCAAGTTCTTGCATGGGAAGTGTTGTCTTGATACACTGTCCAGTGTTTTGTTGGGGCACTTTCTACTGCTGCGGAGCCTTCAGATATTGTTTCCACTCTTGGTTGACCCTCTTTTTCTTCTCTGATAGATCCTCAATCCAGGACGGATTCTGGCCTCTGGCCTCTACCCAGCTCGACTTCCCTTATCTACTCTACTACCCTCACCTGACACAGAGACATTTACTCTCACCAGCCTAATTGGGACACACACGTTGCATCCAGTCTGCTCTACCAGTTTTGCCCTTGTCTCAGGTCTTCCTTCTTTCATTCTTCTTTCATTCCTGCCCATCTGCACTGATACCCCCCCCCCCCCCCAAAAAAACCCCCCCC